GCACCCCCCCCCCATGGGACCGACCCGAGGACCGACTGCGGCTGCCCGGTGCCTGGGAGGGCCTGTCAGCGCTTCAGTTAAAGGGCGATTCATTTTCCCCCAAGACTCAAGATGAAATTCCTGCCCGAAGTGACTGTTTGCTTCTAAACGTGGCGCCAGCGAGGAAGCGCGTGTGACCGAGAGCCCTGGGAGGTGGAACACGAAGCCTTACGTTAACCAGCAGCCGCCGAACGCCTGCTCTGCGCAATAGGCTGCGCGGCGATGCACGGCCTGTCTGTAACAGCCGGTTACAGTTTTCTTTCTTTTATTTTTAATCCTCGCCTGAGGATATTTTTTTCCATTAATTTTTCAGAGAGAAAGAAACATCGATATAAGAGAGGCACATCCACTGGTTGCCTCCCGCACATGCCCTGACTGGGGTCCAGGATCGGATCGAACCTGCAACCCAGGTACATGCCCTTGACCGGGAATCAAGCCCGTGACCCTTTGGTGCGTGGGCTGCCGCTCTAACCACTGAGCAACACCGGCCAGGGCAATTGATTACAGTTTTCATATCACTTCCCACATACGTTTTCTCGGTGGATTCTCACAAGCCCCCTGAGATGCAGGCCTGGGGAGGGCAGAGAGTGTGACATCAGCCCTGCCCCTTCCTCTTTTACAAATGTAGAAGCTGAGATTTATAAAGGACCAGAGGCTGCAAATGGCAAACTTCTAAATCCCAGCTTGGTCGGTCTCTCTGTGGCTCTCTCTCTGATGAACATTTACTCTGTAATGTGGGAATACTGTTGGCATTTATTTTATTTTGCATCCATAAAAATTACATAAACTCTCTCTCTCCTTAATGGATATATAAAGGAGTTGATGACAGAACAGAATTTGTGAGGGCAGGGACTATGGATGCCATTTACATCACTGTCACTTTAGCCGCCCGAGTGGCCCTGGGCACATGAAGGAAGGAGAACCACACCCCTGAACTGTTGGCATTTAGATTGTCCTCTCCTTGGGGAAGATCTGGAGATGACATTTTTATTGTCATCCCAGCTGACATACCAGGAGCTTAAAACTGACGCTTCTTGTTTTGTGGTGTGCAAAATAGTCTGATGCTTTCCATAATATTTTTAGCTCTATCAGTTACTTTTACCACTCTGAGTATATGCAAATATCTGGAAAGCCCCTGCATTTTCACAGTCTCATAAGAAAAAGAAAGAAGAATTACAAAAATGGTGAGTGGAGATAGTTTGACGACCAGGTGTGTTCTGTTACAGTCCTCCAGTCCAGGCCACGCAGGTCCTCAGGCCCAGACTGAGTCCGCAGCCGTCTTTGCCGATTCGCTTGGGTGTAAATGCAGCAACCTGAAATGGTGACTCAGCATTTTTCAGAAACAACCAGACTTAAAATATGTTCGACACAAGCAAATATTCTTTTTTTCTTTTTTTAAAAAATATATCTTTATTGATTTCAGAGAGAGGAAAGGAGAGGGAGAGGGGGAGATAGAAACATCAATGATGAGAGTCATTGACTGGCTGCAGCCCACAACCCGGGCATGTGCCCTGACCCAGAATCGAACCCCGATCACCTGGATCCTAGGTCCACGCTCAACCGCCAAGCCACGCCCAGTCAGGCGCAAATATTGTTGAAATCCATTGACAAGCTGCCTGTGTTACAAAAATGGTATAGGAAGTTGAACAGGTCGTTTTGTGCAGGGCCCAGAGGAGATCCAAAAAAGCAAATATGCTCATGGCTGGGAAGCAGAAAGTTGGCAGGGGTATCCCAGAGGGCAGCTTATGTCCACTGATGAGAGCAGTGGCCTTTGGCTGCTACACTGACTGGAAACCAAACCCTGCAGTCCCCATCTGTGTGGCCCTTTCAACAATCCCCACTGGACACACATGAGCTCATTTAATCTTCACAACAGTCCTGGGAGGGAGCTATTATTTGTGATTCCATTTTATAGATCAGGAGACTGAGACTCAAGAAGGTTAATGACTTGCCCAGGTTTACACCTAAGAAATGGAGAGCAAACATTGGGAGATCAAGATGTTTCCATCATAGGCACAATTATCTGTCCATTTGACATATGAAAATACCCAAGGATGCTCTGCGTCCTCTGAGAGAGCATCTCTCCTACTCAGTGTCGGTTATTTGAATTTGTGGTTGGGTGTCTGGTACTGCTGTGAGCTCCTCTCCAGCAGATGCCAGCACCAGTCCTCAGAGGCAAGAGGACAGGGACATGCTCATCAAAGTCTGGATTCACTCTTTTTTTAAAAAAAAAATAATTTACTTAGTTTATTTATTTAAAAATTTTTTTTTCAACTACAGTTGACATGCAGTATTATTTTGTATTAGATTCAGGTGTACAGCAGAGTGGTTAGACAAGCATATCCCTTATAAAGTGTTCCCCCTCATATTTCCAGTACCCAGCTGGCACCATACATAGTTATTGCAATATTGTTGACTATATAACTCTACCTAACAAGAAAGACAGCCAAGTCAATTACGTCGGCGAAGACCCTTTTCTAAATAAGACATTGTTATGCCAATATCGCTATCAAAATCCCCCTTTCAGGGTCACCCAAGTAGAGCCCTGGAGTCTATTTGGTTATTAATGGTTGTTGGCACATCTGATGCAATATATTGAAGTTGAATTATGGTATCAGATAAAAATCATAGATGAGAATGAAGCTTGTGTATCATCCACTATCATGTGTAATCAATAAACCGTTTAATATCCTCTTGGAAAAAATCCCTTCCGTGCGTCCCGCTTCACTCTTCTGTATAGTGGCTGGTTCCTTAAGGCACCCGTGGCGTGGGATGGTCCTCAGGGGGTTGGATACAGTGCGCATTCTTTGTGAGCAGGACTTTCATGATCTGAAATGATGCATCGGTCAAAGAAAGGGCAGCATTTGGTTACCTTCCCTGCTGATGAAATGGTGTGATTAGTTGGGCGTCTTAACATTGAAGGGCATGGGCGAGAATTATCCAGGCTTATTTTAAGCCTCATGACTCTTCTGTTTTTGGTGAATGGGACTGTGCATTTTAGGCTTTCTAGATTCTACCCATGCTCTCCAATCTTGATTTCGTTATCCTTCCCTACCCTGGCCTTTCTCTCCCTCTTTCTTTGTCCAGGCCCTCCCACTAGGCCCCAGTTCACAAGTGTCTGTGTGAATTACTCCTGATCATTTCTGTCTTCAGTGGCTCCCCCCACACATAATAATCATATTAGTAGTAACAGCTATATTACTAGCACTAACATCAACAACACTAAATTACATTTCTTGGATTGTACCATGTCCCAGGTCCTGTGTGAAGTATTTTATGTGCATTATTCCATTTGACCTTGATGAACACTCAATTCAGCAGGGACTTTTATGATCATGCCCATTTTACAGATGTGGAAACAGTGTCAGAAGGAAATAACTGGCTCAAGGTCACAGAGTTAACCAGCAGCAGGCTCAGCATTTCAACTCAGACCCACCCAATTCCATGCTTTATACCCCGCCTCCCTGAGCAATTTGTGTAGCACTTAGAGTGGGACAACCTATTTCACATTTAGTGTGTGTTGCCTTTCTTGATATGAATACTTTTGTGTGTGTGTCCAGGTCCTAGTTATTCCAATAAATTGTCAGGCCCTTGAGGGCATGAATGATTTTATACCTTAATATATCACCAGGACTTAGCACAAATGCCCTAAAATAATAGAAACCTAGTAATTTCTCCTTAATTTCTACAGTTCTTTCATCACACCTCTAAGACAGCATTTATAAATAACATTTATAGGTCTTATTTTATGCATGTGGCCTGCTGTTAAACACCAAGGATGCTTTACCTCCAGCTCAGTGATTAGTACTTAGAAGCTGCTCCATAAGCATTATTGAGGAACTGAGTCAGTGGTTCTTGTCAATGCTGATGACCACACGAGGCTTAACATTTTCTCTTTTTGGTATCATTTTCCACCTCTGCCAGCCATCTTCTTACTGTTCCATATTCACTCACATGATTAGACATTGACTCAGATGTTTAGTTTGAAAAGTATTTCAGCAATTCAAGTAAACAAATAAATTTTGTGTCCATTCTAATTTCTTGTAGCTTTCACTGGACCTCTATCACACAGAAGATGATATTTATAAGCTGTCACTGGTGCTGGAGCCTAGAAATTCTAAATCGGTAGGTATTGCTTCCTCTCTGAGAATCAGTGCCCAGTACTATGGATTCTCATTTACAGTAATTGACTGTTGTGGTGGTGCTTTATGATCTAAAGATTGAAGAGTTTAAACATCTATATTACTCCCCTTTAAGCAATGAAACATCTTAGCCCTGACAGTTCGAGAATTATTTCTTTACCTGGGCTAATAAAGAAGAACATTATTTGCAATTACTCTGTTATTGTTGATCTTCTATGGGCTGTGCCCCCTCTGAGAACGCACCTACATATAGGATAAAAAAAAGTGAACCATAACTCATCTTAACATTGAAGATCATTTAGACCCTTCTAGGCTTTTAAAAAAAAATCCCATTCAACATAAAATTAGATTTAATAATTTTAAATACTCTGGTCATAATTCACGAGTTTCTCTACTACTGATCAACTCAGCTCAGAATTTTAATATTACATTGGATAGTGCCTCGCTTAATTGATGGCTGACTCAGTGAAGAAACATTATATATAATGAAATTCAGGAAAATGCAGCAGTTTTAGTGAGTGGACGACACCTTAGGTGTGTTTTGCACCAATAAAAAAATATCTGGGTGAATTTGAAATTTACAGTGAGGGTGAGTTTGCATGTTGAAGGAAAAAGTGTCTATGTTTGCCTCTCATACCCATATCCTGAGATCGGTTTTTAGAAACGCCTCGTGCTTAGCTTCTTACCAGCCGAGCTCTGCGGCCCACGGCCAGCAGCTCCAGGCCCTGTCTGTCCACCCGTTAGTGCCCACAGTGACCTGCCCCGAGGGGCTGGAAGGGGCGGGATGACTGTGAGCGCCGCTCCCCGGCTCCGGCAGGGCGTGAACCTGAGCCTGAATCGGCTGACCTGGTGGCATCTGCCCTTAAAATAGTGAGTGTGGTGGTTCCACCAGCACTGCACCGCCTGCCGGCCCCCCAGGCTCACCTCCTGGGGACACTGCAGAGCGCAGCCCCGTGGGAGGAGACGGCAGAGACAGAGGGAGGAGTGGGGACCCACACTCTTCAGAGCTGTCATGACTCAGGGAAAGGCAGGGTCCTTGGGGGGCCTCGGTCATGGCTTCGAGGGGAAGCAGGCCTGGCGTGGCCCGCTGCGTGGCCCGGCCTCCGCCGCCTCCCTTGCCTGTGAGCAGGCACCTTCGTTGCTGCCCGCTGGCTGCTGGACGCCTGGTAGGGCATCGCCGACATGCTCTCCCATTAACTCTGCCGAGTAGACTGAGTCTGGTGAGCAGAGGTCTCCAGCAAGCGGGAGAACCAGGACTTGGCCTCAAGCCCGTCTGTCTACCACGCCTGTGCCTTTCCTGCCGCGGACGCGGCCCATCGTTTCCCCGCCACCCCTTGTGGGAACAGGGTCCGATCGACCGGCTTAGCACACTTGCCTGATTTGTGCTCTTTAGATCCACCTCAGTTTATTTGCAGATAAATTTTTGCCGACCTGGGGAGACATTTCCATCAAACATAGAAAAGTCATCGTATTTTTTTTGTAACAGCAGAGACTTTCCAGCCCCTTCCAAGTGCTAAACTCCTGTGATTCTATAAAACACGTTTCCCAGCCCCTTTCTGTCTCCTCTCAGTGCAGTTCCACGCAGTCCTGTGCTGTGTTTGGCACGTGCGGATCACTGGAGAGCAGGGCGCCCTGGGGACATATTCCTGAGAGCCTGTCCTTCATGGGTTCACCGCTGGTGCTGGCCAACCTCAGCTGACTCCGTCCCACTGTGGACCCGTTTCTGTTCATGGTGGGACCCTCGTGCCTCACTAGGTCTTTGTGTTTTACTTTGTGTCTCAGATTTTGCACACGACCTCTAGGTCAAACACAATACTTAAGAGTTCCACTTATAGAACAGTCAAGTCCAAACAACTTAATAAATATTTATGTTCTAATGACATAGTACTTGATTGAAAAAATAATATGCATACATTGAAATAAAAATATTTTTATTTCATTCCTTAAATAACCACAATTACTTACTAGTGGATGTGTGCCTATTGGACACTGTATAATTTCTAAGTCTTGGAATCAGATTGGATCCTGCCACCCTTAGTTTTTGTCCCGCATGGATATTTTGCTTTGGGAATATATATCATTGAAAAGCGATGGAGCACTGTCTAATGGGGGACCTGTGAAATACTTCCAGCTGGTAGTTTGTGGTGTCTGACAAGCATTGGGTGTCGCTGTATGTCCCCTGGAAGTTTGAAGTACCTTGTGGTGCCCCTCTGAGCTCTCTGCAGCACTGTGGGCAGGCTGCCTTGTACAGTTTGGGAACTGTGGGCTTCTCCTTCATCAGATCAACGAAACGAAGAGCCACAATATGTGCAGGTGTGAGTGTGACTGTGTGTGGAAGTGACCATATCCAGACGGCAGGTAATTTTTGGTCCCGTGGGTAGCCGACAGGATGCCAGCAACAGCCACCCCACAACATTCTTTGGGGCTTAAATCAGTACAGTTACTCCTCAATTCCTCATGCAAAAATGTTTATCCCCGATTTAGTATCAGAACACCTGTTCGTGCAAGTTTGCATGCGCGCCCCAGCCTAAATATTTACATCGTGTGGGGTCCCAGGGAGGGGGTGTAAACTGAACAGCATTCTTGGCTGGTCTCCCGATAGGATTGTGTTTTTCACTTGTGTTGTGTAAACATGTTATGCGTTATCGCCAGCATCCCCTCCACATTGTTAAGTGAAAATGTCTTGCAAGAAAGTGGAAAAACCTGTGCAGAAAGTTCACAAAGAGGGCTAGAGAGACCTAATAATTAGACCAACAGTCAGAAGTGATTAAGTGTATTAAGAGAGATGCCAGTATAAGGACATAAACTTGGCCAACCATGGGGAGCCATTTACTGCACACACCTACTAATTTATCACTAACATCAAGTTTTAAAGAACAAGGCAGCTGGTGTTTTATATATTTTGCGTGATACAAAACCTGTATGGATTGTTACATAGGGGTTTAAGGATGTTTTAGTAATATTTGGATAACTTGGATAGGATTTTGGGATGTGCTGAGAGAGCAATTATTTCTTCCCATTATTTTAAATATTTAGAACTTAGGTTGCTGCTAAACAAAATGCACTATTCCAGTATGTATTTCATTACAGATTAGATTCCATTGACAAAAGATATTTGTTTTCAAAACATTTAAGTGCTACATACATGTAAGTTTTTACTGGGATTATTGATATACAAAATGTAACTGTCTTTCTCAGTGTCCCTGGTCCTAATTGTCCAAGGCCCCAGATAAAGGTGAAAAATGTGTGTATTTTCTATCAGCAGCCTACCTCCCCTACAACGCCCACCAAGCCCGTGGTGCCCCTGGAGTGGGCATCAGGAGTCATGCCAAAGCCAGACCCCACGGTCATCAACAAGCACATAAGGAAATTAGTTGAGGTAAGTGGTTGAAGGAGTGTTAAGAGTGAGCACTAGAAGGCCGCTTTCTCTTTCCAGAATATTCTTCGGTTGCTCAGGAATCAGATGGAGCCCATGGCAACAGCCCCCGGCAGGTAGGAGCAATGTAGCAGACACTTAGCTCAGCCTGGCATCAGCCTCTGGGGCACAGTCTTCAAGAAAGGCCCCCTCTCCCCCTCTCCTGTGTGTTCCCACCTGCCCAGATGCCCTCAGCTGCTCCCAGTTCCTCTCTGCAGCCCTGACACCTGTCATCGCCTCTGCAGCTTGAGGGGCTGTGTGGGGGTGCACTCATTCAAACCCCGCAGGGGTCACGGTAACAGGCACTATACACTGGTACCTGAGGGGCGGGAAAGGCCCCGCAAGCGGATAGCTGCTCTTGCCGTGTGCATCTGGGGCCCTGGGACACCGCAGCACAGTGGCATTTAGGGAAGAAGCGTCACTTAATGGAGGGCAAGGCTTCAGAGTTTTCCACACACAGAGGAGAACCGGCCCCGGTGTGGGGAAGATGGAAACATTTGCTTGTGCCGTGGCCGAGTCTGTCCTCAACTTCCACACACCTGTTCCATCGCCCTCTCCCGCCCTCTCCTCTTGTACAGTTGGAGTCTCTGTGTTTTCTTTCTTTTTTTTAAATATATATATTTTTATTGATGTCAGAAAGAGGAAGGGAGAGGGAGAGGGAGAGAGAAACATCAGTGATGAGAGAGTCACTGATCGGCTGCCTCCTGCACGCCCCCCACTGGGGATCGAGCCCGCAACCTGGGCATGTGCCCTGACCGGGAGTCGAACCCCGATCGCCTGGATCATGGGTTGACACCCAACCACTGAGCCACACTGGCCGGGCCTGTGCGTTTTCTTGGATGTCTGAGGCAGCTTCACCTTGGACTTTGAATTTCTCAGCAGCTGCCAGCGGTGCTTGCTGAGCGAAATCCCCGGTCCTGGCCTCCCCTAAAGCAGACATCTGGTTTGTGACCAAGAGGATATTCTCAGATTTCCCAACAGTGACCCGAGTGGACCCTGTAACCTGCGGAAGAGCCACTTTGGACACAGCCTCCGTGCCCCTGTCCCCTCCGCCTCCGTTTTGCTCTACTGACTGGTTGTCAAGGATTTCAGCTGCCGCCAGCTGGGCTGTGGTGTGGTGGCCTGTGTGGCATCTGTTCCTCGAGCTCTCGTACCGACTCGTCACAGATCCTGTTCCAGGCCCTGTCTCAGCCTGGGGCCATGGCGGCTCCTGCTCTGGAGCAGGGACGAATTCTGTGGCTTCACCAAGCATTTTTGTGGGGACCAGGGAACGAAGATGGCTGTGGCCCCATTACCTCCTACCTTAAACAATTTTAGGCTATTCTCAACGCGTTCACTTCTGTTTGAACTCTAGAATTCTTTTGTTCATTTAAAACTAATTCCCACTGGGATTTTGGTTGGAATTACATTAAAAGTATACTTTTCAAGTTTCAAAAAATTTCAGTTTATAGCTTCATAAATTCTATTGTTGTGGTGCTGGCATTTGTGAATTCACCAAGCCCAGCTCCTACTCAAGCCTGAGGTCTCAGTTTAGATTTCACTTTCTCCAGGAAACTTTTTAAAATCCACCCCCCGCCCCAGCACTGTTTTTATCATTAGCATTGCACTTATCTTGTTATACCATAAAGGCTGTTGATTTTGTTATCTCCCGTGAGATTCTAAGCAACTTGATGGAAAGAATAATATGCTAGTTATCATTGCTTTCCCAATAGTAAGTTCAGAGCCTGACTTATAAGTGGTCATTCAATAAATATTTGTCTTTCCTTTGCAGTCTGTGTTTAGAAACTATGACCATGACCATGATGGGTACATCTCCCAAGAGGACTTTGAAAGTATAGCTGCCAATTTTCCCTTCTTGGATTCCTTTTGTGTGCTGGACAAAGATCAGTAAGTCTTAATTTTGTTATATTTCAATGCAATTGTCTTGAAGCAGGAAATTATTATCTGAGGAGAGCAAGGAAATTGTTCATTTACATCTTGACAGCTTCCATCCTAGTGCGTTGTGAGTCTAGCTTTCCACTGAAATTTTTCTTGGTGACCATGATCATGACTGGATGGAATCGCAGGACAGGTGATATCATCAGTGCTGAGTATAAGAACCCACTTGCAAATTAGCCCAGCTCTGCATTTCCCACATTATTTCTACTCTTTAGTTAGTTCATCAACCCCACAACTCCATCAAAAAACAGTGGAGGAGAAATAGTATTAGAGTTGGCCTGGTACAGCCCTCAGCATCAGTGAACCTGCAGGCGATCTTCAAACTCACCAAGAAAGTAAGATTTTATTATTATTATTATTACTTATGGTCTTCATGAGAGCAGGTTATGGCTGCACATAGCCAAGCAGTGTCCATGTGCTTTTTTCTTTTAATTTGCCAGCTCAAAGTTTGTCTTCATAAACAAATAATATATTTTTCTTTCTCTTCAAATAACTCTTGAAAATTAAATGAGTTTAGAAGCTAAAACCCAGCTCATTAAAAAAATGCTTAAGAAATAATTGCCAAGAAAGCCTGGCGTTAATAATTTGATTAATTTTTAATTATATGAGATTAATTCATAGTTTTAAAGTCATCTTTAATGAAACGCCAGATTTTATATTGGTGAAATGTCCAAATTATATCATATTAAAATCCTCTAATACTTTTGTTGGTGTAAGAATTTTTAAAAAATTAAATCTGTAAGTAATTCAACACACCAAGGAAAGCCTTGGTACTTTATCAAAAGTGTCTTAAACCTTAATTCACCTTTATTGTATATCCAGAACAAAGAATACTTTTTAAATGAATTAAATTATTAGCAACATAAACTTCCTTTACAAAATAACATTTAAGTTACCCAGGAACTGCCCACCTCTCCCCTCTGTTTGTCTCTGTGAGTGGCATGTACACTTAAAATCAACTTGAATCAAGTGTGTGAGGCCATAAACTTAAAATCACTTCCCAGTCTCTGTTTCCTTCCTCTGCTGGTTCTTTAGAGGGAACTGAGACTGCCCGGCAGATACGTAACCTTTTTCCCCCCAAAAATGAAGGTTTGAAGTGTCCATAGCCATAGCTTCCATGATTTCTTTAGTCAGAGAGTCGGATGTGCTGATTTTGNGACACACACACACACGCACACACACCCCCACACACACACAGACACACACACACATGCACGCACACACACACACCCACACACAGACACACACCCACACACAGACACACACCNGAGAGGAAAGCGGACCACGTCGGAAAAGGTTCTAGCAGGTTGCCGAAGATGCGGCAGCGGGCCTCCCAGCCCCGGGCTGGAGGCGCGGCCCCGGCCTCAGGC